ATTACTGCCTGCACAAATACTAGAATAGCTTTAGAAAGTATATGAAACTCATAATACGTGCCTTTAAAATTTGAGGTTTGCCCTCCATTTCCCTGGGATCCCCTCATCAGACAGGAATTTGTTATTTCAAATAAGAAAATAATTTTTGGATTAAGGGAGTTATCGGTGAACATACATAAATACATACTACGGAACGTAGAGCCTCCTTCTTCTTGAAGTCGGTTATATGGCTATCTCCTTACGATAACCTTTTTTTTTTTTTTTACGTGTGGAAATCCTCTCGGACCGTCACCCCGCCGGGGCTCTCGTTCGGCGGGACGGTGTGTCGGCGGTCTTTGCGCTTCCAGTTTAGGAGGGGTCCAGGAAGTTATCGCCTTCTGGACCTCTCCCAGCGCCGGCCCGCTCCTGATGCGGGCTCCGTCTCAGTGGACCCTCTCTTTAGGCGACGTCCGGCACACGCGGACGCCGCCCCCTCGCGGGTGGCCAACTAATGCGGGTGGAGGGGAGAACCCATCCCGTCCACCCGCGGCCACACTCAGGGCGGCATGAGGCGCAGGTAAGCGCGCCTCCGCCGCCCGGTTCGCCGATTTTTTTTGTAAAATTTATAAGATAAAAATGATTACTGTGGATTATCCTTAGGAGATAGACATATACCATCGCGGACTTCTTTGTAGATCTTTTTTTGATATACAATTTAATAGCATATTATTTTAGTCTATCTCGTAAGGTTTAGCCAGCGTTTGCAATGTAAGCGCACAATACTACATGTAATCGTACATGTTGTACGATAGCAAAACTGTCGGAAAAAAGTCTTGTTACACATTTTTCGGTCTAGCTCCCATCCGTTTAAAGCGTGTAGTATTGTATTGTAGTACTCGCGATAAGGAACTTCGTTCCTAAAGTGTGTGTATGCAAAAAAATCACACACGGCTGAAGTGAAACCTCAGAAAAGTAGCCTACAAGAGAATGAGATAAATATAGAGTATTAGGAATTCAGGAGTATTAGGATAATTAAAAGGTTTTATTAACATAGTTATATAAGTAAAATTTTATAGACGCGTGGTTGGATACGTAGCACATTGACGTGTCATGTCAGTTCCGTCAGAAATAAAAGATTTACATTGAATAATGTTGCCGTTATCAAACCTTACTTGATTTTTAGTTTCTTTGTGTTTGTTGTTTTTAACTTTTATTTATTTTTGTATGCTATGCTTTATGAAATAAATATTATTCTATTATTATTTTTACCAAGCTATAAATTATTTTAAATTTTAATGCAAAATATTACATTTCACAATATATATTTACATATTTAAGATACTATCACCATGTTTTCACTTTAAACAAATGACAAGAAAGATAGAGGACGACATTTGTTAGAAAATATTCAAGTAGGTACTTACGATGATCTTTTTCACTATTTTGTACAGTAGACGTATTATGTTGCGCATTATAAATATTTTGTTGCTCATTAAATATTGCCTTTCGGCGTGCACGAAGTTCACGAACACGTTCCGTTGCACTTTTTGCGACCTTTTTCACCTTATTTTCTCTTTTTTTCTGCCGATACTCACGACAATATTCAGCATTAGTTTTCGGCATTTTTGGGCAAATATTTTATTTAATAAAAAGATAAATATATTAACACTGTCAAAATATTTTATAAATATTATTTAAAAATTACATAATATACACAAACAATATTATTGTGTAATGCAAATAATTTACTAATGTTAATCAATTTAAATTTAGATTATTTATTCAAATAAAAATCATTTGTCGAATTAACACAGATTTGTTAAAAAATTAACATAAATTAATTAACCAACAAATTTTATTTTAATACGCAGATGCAAAAAAATAAAACACGCGAGTGATACACCACGTTGCTAATGACACATTTTCTGAAGTCTTCGATGTACGCAGACGCAAAGACACGTGATAAAGGAGACAATCACAGAAAGCACAATGTACTTATAACCTATCTCATTTTCTCGCAGGCTAAATCCCTTTTATGAATATGTTTGTCTCTTTTTACTGTTGCTTTTTCGTTTCATCTAGTTTTCAAATCACAAAGTTTTACTTCAATAATAAAAATACTCAAAATGAATTCAGGTAAGTAAATTATTTTATTTTATGTCACTATTTAATCAAATAAACATTACGTTTAGAAACTCAAAGCGTCGCCGTCAAGGCGTTTCTGAAGTTAAACACTGAGTTCCGGGACTGTCAACTCAATGTCAAGTTGATTTTTTTTTACGGTGTTTTACAGTGTGACCTTTTACAGTAGATTTTCTACTTCAGCAGTAGATTTCCAATGAAAATTTGACCATGCACTAGATACATAATAGTTTCCAAACATGTAGTAGATTTCATTAGATTTAAAGCGATAATCTAAAGGACTTGTGTCCAAGCTTATAAATTATGTTGGCAGCAATGGCAGCGCTTATATTAGTACTGTTGTAGGCTTCCCCCGACTGTATACTTTTAAGCCCAACTGACAAGGAAGTTTGCACTCTAATGTTTAGATTATAGGCTATTTTTAATAATTATTTTAATTTCGATTCAGAGTATCGTTTAAACTAGTTTAAAGAATAATTTCCCTGTATATTGCCTCATGTAAATATGTCATTCTCTTGCATAAATAGTTTAGATCTCATGGCAATCTGACACAACACGTAATTACAATAAAGCATAAATTTGAACAAAACTACAGCCCTAAATGGGCCCCTACAAAACTCATTATTTTCTTCATGGCTCTGTAAAGATATTATAATCATGCTCTCTGTAAAGCTCGCGGTGTTAAAATTTTAAGCTGATTAGTCTATTAAGGAACACAGTGGTAGTAGCAAACATGAAAACAATATGAAACTTTACAGTGGGCGATCAAAGGTATGTAGATTTGTTTATATTATCGGAAAGTTGATAACTACTTATTAATCTAACATATTTTTTTTTATATTATTCAAACATTTTAATTTAGTGAAACGATAATAACAATCAAAAAGTTCCAAGTTTTAAAACTGGTTTATTCAAGTTTGCATTTTTTTTTTAGAAAACTTCCAATGAGGTATACTATGCTAGGCCAACATGGTTGTGTTTTGTAAACAAAAAGTTTACCACCATATCGACGATCTCCGTGGCCGAGTAGCCACGGGGCCACGGAGAACGTCGAGAGATTTGTACGTCCCGGTCCCCGTCCCGTTTCAGGGCCGTCGCCATATATAGAGGTTCTGGGTTCAATTCCCGGTGGGGGCAAATTTTTGTGTGATAAATACAGGCATTTGTTCTTCAGTCTTGGATCTTTATTTACGTATTAAGTATAATCTGAATATTTGTATAAATAAATCTGTTATGTATATTTATCCGTCATCTAGTATCCATAACATAAGCGGCATAAGCTGATTTTTTGGGCTAGTTGATAGGACACCTATTGTCAGAAGATATTTATTTGTTTGAAATATAGTGATTTTTATTGTATGCATTCTAGATATCTAAATGTTTTATATATTGTGAATTTAATTTTTTTTTAGATCGATACTTATTTTAAGAAGGACCCTTTATGATTTGCGCTGCAACAGTTGAACACAACATACCCTTCAAGTCATGGACCAATTGAACGACGTCAATCCCCACACGGGACAACACTGTGTGTTGTTGATTCGATCCCCACACGGGACAACACTGTGTGATCCACAAATTGTTGCGTCTGAGTCTAGATGTTTCTTGTGTCCGTTTCATGTAATAGTATGTTTGTAAAGACCCGCGCTAGACAGTATTTGTTATCTTAATAAATAAAAAAAATTGGGGGAAGTCGTAAGGAATGCCGACAGAAGTGAAAACTCAAAACAATGGAATAACTGTTTTTTTTTTATTTTTTTATTGATTATAGTCTGAACGTCATGAACACAGGCCGCTATACAACGCGTCACGAGCATGTCGATGTTATCGGTGACGCGAATCCATTAGTTTTTCTCCTACCAAAAATCGCTCAATGCGGGGTAAAGAAGTTTTAACTTCAAAAAATCCTTTCCTTGATTTTCACCAAGTCAAAGCCTGTTTTCCACTCTCACTTCATTTTAGGGTGGACACTCAAAAGCCAGACAACGCACATGTGTCTCTTGACTTGAAGGGGTCGATGGAGGCGGTAGTTAGGTGAACAGTCTGCTCCATAGAGAGAACACGGGGTACAGCGGGGTAAGTGGAAGCGATACAGGTAACGGGAGAGATGGATCCCCGATATTTCCCTCTGTCTCTATTCAGCTAAGCTGCGATTGGCTACTAATTAACCCCTCCATATTCCCCAACCAACCCCAGAGTTCGGCTATAAAGAGATAGAGGGGACTGTCTATCATCTATCTCTCTCGTTGCCTATATTGCAAGTTTGGGGCCCTTGTTCCCTCTAGGTTAGATGCCAATGGTCTGCTCGCATGCCCCTATTCCCAAACAAAAACTAAACTACATTTTGCCAATTATTATATTAGTCTTGAAGGCCAATTCTCGTAATAAAAGTTCGGTCAATTCAGTTCCGATCAACTCAACTTGCCTATATTGCAAGATTGGGGCTCTTGTTCTCCCTATGTTATATCTCTATGGTCTGCTCCCAAGCCCCCTGTCCCAAAACAAAATAATCAACCACATTTTGCCAATCATTATTTGAGTAGTTTCCCAATCTAGGTTGGGGTCGGCTGTAGGTCTACTAGGACACGTCTGAACTTTGATTATTTACGCGAAACGACTGCTGTCAGACCTCCACAACCCAAGTACTAGGCTATACAGAAGTTCCGCAGAAAGACATGTCAGAATTTTTAGGGCTCCTACTACCCGTAACTTTTGCCACAGATATCCGTATGGCAACCTAGGGGTCTCACGTCACCAGGCTAGGCTTGCTTAACTTTGAAATGTGTTAACCCACCTGGTTACCACTTAGTCGCGAGCCCCTTAAATATTGACCTAAACCATTTAGTATTGTTACAAATGTATTTAATTTATTTTTGCAGATGAGAAGAGCTCATCATAATTACGGAGACAAAGCCACACCAGGTCAGAACAGTATTATAAAAAAAAAGTGTGACACGGTGAGCTATTTTATCCGTAGGTACTTATGAATATTATAAATGGGAAAGTGTGTATGTCTTTTTTCTGTCTATCTGTTACCTCTTCACGCTAAAACCGCTTAACCGACTTAGATGGATTACTACTTGATATGTGAAATCTCATTTATTTTATTTCAGAATTTATTTTTAAATTATTGATACTTAAACATTTATTGCTTAAACAATCTTGGTGTTACCATCTCAGTAATTCTTAGAACAAACAAAATTTATTTGAATACTAGCATTTGCCCGCGGCTCCGCCCGCATGTACGTCAGTTATCGCAGTAAAAAGTAGCCTATATTGCTCGCTTTTCATTGGTGAATGAATTTTTAAAATCGGTTAAGTGGTTTAGGCGTGAAAGCGTTACAAACACATCACTTTCACATTTATAATAAAAGTATGGATTCCTAATCAATAAATTATAACGTACATCACACATCAACAGCCTTTAATAGTCCACTGCTGGACATAAGCCTCTCCTTAGAAAGGAGGTTTTGGCCTACTATACCACGCTGGCCAAACTGGTTGGTATAGGGTTTGTGTCAAGTTTTCCTTCTCTCTGCAGTGCTGTTGTTCTGCGTAGTTTTCTCCCTTAGTCGCCTCTTACGACACCTAAGGGATGAATAGGGGTGGTGACACTCTGTATTCTTAATCCGTCACCACACGGACGGTAAATCAATAAATTGCTATAAAGCAATTGTAACGTACATGTATTTTTATATATCAGTGCTTTTACTTATCCAGGCCATGGTGATAATTGCCAATGTGTACCACTATCTGCAAACCGAGTTTGATAACCTCAAGAGTTTCATCAGCAGCAGTTATGACCTGAGTTCTCTGAGTAACATCCTTAAACGTACTGCTGAAGCCACTGGGGTTAGCGAGCAGACGGTAACCAGTATCTTGGAGGAGAGGAAGCTGTGTGAAGATCCTGAACAGGAGATTGTTAGAACCGATGAAAATATAATAAAATTTGATGATGATGAAATGAGGTAAGTTAGATACTGTTGACTTAAAATGACTCTGAAGTACGTTTTATTTATTTACTCTAACTTAATAACTTTTGATAGAACGAAGTCTGGCGGGGCAGCTAGTTCACATCACATCAACAGCCTATAACAGTCCACTGCTGGACGTAGGCCTCTCCATAGAAAGGAGGTTTTGGCCTACCAAGTTTGCCTTCTCTTTGCAGTGCTGTTGTCCTACGTAGTTTGTTCCATTAGTCGGCTCTTACGACACCCACGGGATGAATAGGGGTGGTGACATTCCGTATTCTTAATCGTCACCACACGGACTCCGTCACCACACGGACGCTTTCACCACACGGACTAGTTAGTAAACATTAATGTAATTGTATTAAAATAATGAATAAAACAATTAATTCAATATATTATAAGTACTAGTGGTGTTCGGATATTTGTATTAAATTAATACAAATATCCGAACACACACAGATGTCTTTATCCGCATTCGCATCCGCATCTAATTAATGCAGCTTTAACGAACGCGGATTCATAACGCGTGGCGCGTGCCCCGCACGGTTTTGCTACTCTCTGCTCTGACACTGACCAATAGGAAACATTGGTGACAACATTGTACAGGTTTTATTTTACTTATCGACGTGATTCCTACTGTTAATGTGTACGGTGTAATAAAAGTGTTTGTTTATTCAAGGTTTAAATATTTGGTGTCGAAAATATTAAGTGTAAAATTAAAAAACTTATTTTACATTAGATGCAAATGATCCGGCGAAATCAATACACAATTTCGTATATTATTAAGGTCTATCTCGTATATCGCGGCGGTAAGACCCGTTAAGGAGGATTGGCTCGAGAGGCATCACGGAACCCTCGCATACCGGCTGACGCAGGTGATCACCGGAAAAGGATACTTCGGAGATCACCTGTATCTGATCTGCAAGGAGCCAAGCCTGAGTGCCACCACTGCGATGGCCGGACCGTGGACACGGTGCTCCACAGAATACCCGGCGTGGGTGGAGCAAAGGCATAGCCTCGTGGCGGCCGTCGGATTAGCAATTCTCTCGCTCGGTAACATGATTGCCGAAATGGTACAGAGCGATGGTGCGTGGTCTAATTATGCGAGCAGGTTACGCTTGCAAAGGAGATGGTGGAGCAGGACCGGGAGAGATTCAGAACTCTCCCGGTCCGCCAGGTCCGAGAACAGGTACCGCAGACGGCTCAGGCGCCGGAGATCGCAGAACGACCTCCGTCCTCCATAAGTGCAGGCCTGAGGGTGACGATGCGCCCATCTGTCAGTCTAGCAGAAGCAGGCCGGGGTGGGTGGTGGCATGACGCGCTAAGAAGCGCAGAAGAGGAGCAGGAAGGGGAACGTCTGGGTTCCCACATAGGAGGGGTCATCTATAGGCCATAGATGGCCCGAGGTACGTCGGGGTGCCAGGGCTTTCCTTTCTAGGGTATACCTGTCTATGTCTGTATATGTCTATCCTTAAGAGATAGACATATACTATCTCAGACTTTTTTGTACATCTCTTTAGGATATACAATTCCGTAGTACATTACTTTGGTCTGTCTCGTAAGGTTTAGCCAGTGTTTGCAATGCAAGCGCACAAAAATATGTTTTTTACGACAAATCTTTAAAATTCTTAAATTTTTTCCACTATGATATGCATGTATTATATATATAAAACTTGCTCTTGAATCTCTCTCTCTCTCTCTCTCTCTCTCTCTCTCAATTGGTGAAAACCGCATTAAAATCCGATGTTTAGTTTAAAAGATCTTAGCGCACAACACAAAAAAACGACTTTATTTTATACTGTGTAAAGATGATTATTACTGCCAGAATACACGCTTACTAGAACAAATAAAATAGTCCCAAACGATCCTCCACACATAATTGATATTGATTATTAAAGTTCGATTAACGGGCAATAGAAATATTTTCTCTGAAGAACTACCTTTTTTAGACAATATTTATTTACTTAACCACAATTAAGCCATTAATATAGTAATGATTTAATGTAATAACATAATGTCCTAATATTTTATACTTTTATGTTACCATATTTTATCTCTCACGATGAGTCACGAAGCAAATGAGCTGTGGGATCCGTATTTAATAATTGGTAACACCAGTATGGTAGAATGTCAATTATGTGTTGAGCCGCTGCATTCATTAGTAATTGAGGTCGTGTTGTGTTTTCGTTCGCTACAAAAAAAATTATTAAGCGATTTTAAGGTGAGTATGTATCCTCTTGCTTTATTCGACAAATTATTTAGTAAACATGTTTAAATTAGAGCTCTAAGTTATGAAAACTGTAAAATATTTATTATACTGGCGCAGTAACGATTTTTAAATGAAGTTAGGTTTTATGTTACCATTGTTGTGTATTTTTATGTTACGTAACATAAAAGCGATATAAAGCCTAATGCACATTGGAAACTGTACAATAAATACCTTAATTGCAGTGTATTAACGCGCTGAAGACTTATATTGATACTGATTATTTCTTATTGTGTTTACTGTTTTGACTGATTAAGGGGTTTTGTCATTTTTTGTAAAGTCGTCTAACCGCTATTTTTTCTAAGTGTGTCGCACAGTGCAACTCGTATATTTCTTTTATAGATGATTGGACTTTGGATTTTGGATTGTAGAAGTATTGTTTGGACAATCTTAATGTCCATTTATTTTTATGACATGACATTATGGATTGAATTTTTTTTGTTCGTTTGTATACCCGCAATACAGATATAAATTGTGCGGCGCGATTTAGAACAAATAACGAAGATGGTAAAACGTCTGAACATCTAATGAGTGGGTCAGGGGGATCAGACCGTGGCGACGTCGCCATGCTATGTAATAGCATATGTAACATTGTGTGGTGACGCGTCGCCATGCGGAAGTGACTCTGAGAGTGAATAATATACTTTAAATGTGCTCTTTTTTTTTTCTTTTTTTTTTAAAAGACAACGCCCTATTTATCATTTCCTTTAATATGCCACATAATTTTGAACTATTTCTACGAAATACGCGCCACTGCTCAATTTTTTTTGCGAACTCTTGGAATTAGACTTAATTTTTTTTTTATGTGACAGATGCCTCTCACTTCAGCCCAAAAACAAAAAAGATACCGCGAAAAATTACAAAGAGAGAACCCTGAAAAGTATGCACAAATGAAAAAGAAAATTGCTGAAGGTGCGTTACGTTATTATAGAAAAAAAACTGGTGAATATACAGAACTGGATAAAGAAGAGAGAAGGCAAAAATGGCGAGATGAAAGGAAAAACCTAAAACAAGCTCAGCATGTTAAAGTTAGAAATAACTCAAATAACGATAAAACTGCCAAGACAGAACCAATGCATGTTGAGCTCCGGAAAGAAAATCTGGTCATCAAAAGGCATATAGTTATTTTGCGCAAGAGATTTGAAACCTTAAGAAAGAACTATTACCGGCAGTCAAAAAAGTTAGACCAATTAAATAAAGCATACGACGAAATTAAAGAAAAATATCAAGAAATCATTACCAGACTTAAAGAACAAGACAGTAAAGAAAGTATAAGTAGGTATGTTTATCAGAAGACGGGCTCATCCTAGCAGGAGGTTGGATGGCCCGTAATATGTGTCAAATCCGGGCAAGCGAAGCGAGCCCTAACACTATCCCATAATCTATGCATTTTTGTGGTACACATTACTGAGAAACTATCACATTTTTAGGTTTAGGCTTTAACATAATAATTTGAATTTATTTCTAGATGTGTTACTTGTCATAAAAATATTAGTTTAGGTACATTTAGAGAAAGTAGAAGACTTGAAATACTTTATTTATGAGAATTTAATTGTATTGCTAACAACTGCAATATTTTACCGATTGGACTGTTCCTTCTAACGCCATCTTTTCGAAAAGTAAAGAATTATCATCGAGGTAAGCATGTAAACAGTGTGTTAAAATGCAAAATATAAATTAAAAAAATGCATTTGTTAAAAATGTTTTTTTTTGACTCGGCACAAATAAATAATGACTAATCAATTATAACTAAGTAAGGTGCGTGACAATAGTGGACTATATAGATGGGGATATGCATTGGCCTCTTTAATTTTTTGACATCTGTCACAATTTGTTTGATTACAATCGTTGAACATTTATGTGCGATGTGTTTTGTTTATGGCGTTATAATTTTATATTGATATATGTATGGAGTATATATGAGATATAACATGGTTTTAAGTTAATATTAGGTAAGTACCTATAACAGAAGTATAAGAAATGTTATGTAAACGCGAATAATACAGGATAACTGGTTGACAACATGTCAAAAAATTTAATTATATGAATGTGATTGTTACAGTAAAATGCCGCGAAGACGTACGTTAACTGGCCGTAAAGAACGTCTAATAAACCGTTATGTTATGAATGATGTAAGAAAACGTCAGAAAAGAGCTCGAGTCGCTGAGTAATGATAAAACCTCATACAGCTCACACACAAATTAGGCAGAGCCAGACACAGCACACAGCCACGGTAACAAGACTGCTGATAAACACACTTTTATATTCCTAATTACATAAATATTTAGTTTACAGGCTAACAGGCTTAAGGCTTACAGACTAATAACACACTTTCCGTGAAAAAAAATATCAATTGGGTATATGTTTACAACAACACATTAAGATGATAAACTGCCAAGCAATACAACCATTATTCACAAAATCTATTTGCCAAATGCCATCTTATTGCAGCGGGGGGCTTATTGCTATGAAATAGGTAAATAACTAGGTCTAAGGGAAGACTGTTAAAACTTACCGCATAATGCAAGAAAAGTGATTACTTCTGTAATTTAAAAAATAAATTCTCTGCCGGTTCTTTGTTGGATTGGCACACATGGACAAAAAAAACACCTCTGTGGTGTTTCGGCATTTCTTCACAGAGTCAGTCTTAGGAAATGCAGGCTCCATCTAGCTGTAAAGTCCGACTTATAAAAATATCTGCAAAGAAAGTAAGGGACTCCCTATCTTTCACTATTTTGTTTTGTGTGGCAACTTGTTATTAAGGCAGCACAGCAATGCTTGTATACAACAGTCATTGTCTCTGTTAGCCTTTAAGGTGTATGCCTTGTTGATTATCCAAATAAAAAAAAAATGATAGTGCTCATCACACAATTATTTGAATCGAACCCACAACCTTTGGGTTATCAGTCAGGACCACTAATGAATAGTAGAGTTTCCAAATAGGCAAAAAAAATTTTTTTGGTTTGCAACAGGATTTTTTTGTAAAGTCCCGACACAAATCCCGAATAATAATATAATAATAATAATGATAGTAAAAATTATGTATAGTTTTATTATCGATGTATTGGGCCAATATATGTAGATACTTATATACAGAAGTGTCGGTAACAGTAACTTAGAGTTCGATGCCTTTTTACCATAAACTCATTATTTTATTTGTTGTTCAAAAATGCCAAAAAAGCCAAGATTTTAGACTTAAGCACTGCAGTTTTTCAGTGTCGAAGGTTTGATTAATATTTAAAAAAAAATAGACTTACTGTACTCTTTGTCACATACTTCAAACATGAATAAAGTAAATATGAATTTGACAGGCCTATTGGTATTGTGGTTAGCGAACCTGACTGCTAACCTGGAGGTTGTAGGTTTGATTCAATTTCCACCCAGAACAATTTTTTTTCTTTCTTTTTTTCTTTGTTTTTCTTTTCAAAAAGACAGCTCCCGTACTAGGAATATATCCTGTGTCGCGGGGGACTTTACAAACATACATGAAATACATACACAATACAGGACATAAAGAACACCCAGACTGGGACCAACAATTTGTGGATCACATAAAGTGTTGTCCCATATGGGGATCGGACCAACAAAACTCAGCGCAGTAAGCCATCTGTGCAGTCAATTGTATGATAAACACGATAATTTTTCCTGTGTCTGAATATAATTTATCTACAATATGCATGTATATACACGGTGATTTTGAAAGCGTTTTGGAAAAGAAAATTTTGAGTTATTTATCAGTAACAGAAGCTATATATAACGTTAATTTAATAAAATATATATTTTTTTTATCATCAAAGTCGATATTCATATCGATTACAGAGAAAAAGTGAGAACCAGTAGTAGGGCTTTTCAATCGCAAGTAGGTAAATACTACGAATAGAAATACTATACTCACGCGCAAGGTCAAGGACGTTTAAATTATTATTCGCCGGAGTGTAGTGCGTGCATACCTGGACAATGAGTTTAGTGATCGGTGGATAGGTCGAGGAGGGCCAGTGCCTTGGCCACCTAGAAGCCCGGACTTAACGCCCCTGGATTTTTTCTTATGGTCGAAAATAACAATACTTGTTTATACACGGGAATATGAAAGCCGTGATAATTTACGCATTGCGATAGTGGACGCTTTTGATAAAGTGAAAAGTGATAGACACATTAAGAAAATTAAAAAACAATTGCATTAAACGTGGACGTTTGTGTATTGAAAGCAGCGGACTCCATTTTGAGCAGTTGCTTCGATACAGAGAAGTGTAAATAGTGTAAATAGGTATTAAGTTAATTATTCTGTAGATAGCTCCGATTTTTTAAATACGCTTGAAATATTTATACCTACAGTCCGTTGATAAATTGATTTGTTGTGAAAAGAACAATCGTGGTTAATAATCGAAAAGAAGTTTAAATAAAATAGGTATTTCCGACGATCCTAAGCCCGTGTAAAGTATGAAGAACAAACTGGAGTCTATCTACGTAAGTACTCGCTAGCTCGCGCCTATAGGTATACTTTTATCAGCTGCTGTTAGCGTCAGCGGTGCGCAGCGGCCGCCGAAACGCCCACGGACGTGTTTCATTCATATAAGATAATGAATGAATGATCAGTCCATTACTACTTTCCAAGTCGATCGAGTAAAAATGGATATTAAAACTGAAACTTTTTTTTAGACAACATTACAATTGATTTAATCATTTTTATTGGTACTATAGATGATTTCAAATTAAAATGTTTCGTTTCCAAAACGCCTAAAAAATCACCGTGTAGAAATATGTAAGTATGTTTATCAGCAGTCTGGTTACAGGCTCTGTCTAGTTTGGAATCAGTTGTGTGTGGAGTTATTATTAATGGGTATAAAATATATTTTCTTTAGAGAATAATGTGGATTCTGGACCACAAACTGATGTTTTAAAAGAATAAAGATTTCTTGAATAAAATTGCATCACTCAAGTTCACTCTGTTATTACAGTATATTGACTTAAAGGTCATGTTATCGATTTTCATCAAGATATTACAGATATTACAACATCCTTACCTTATTTTATTGATACTATTTCAAATATATATTTTTGTGTTAGAAAAAATTGTGGTAAAGGGTGTAAAGATTTAATTTTTAACTTGCTGTAGGTACTAGACATGGAAATTATTGCTGCTTTTAAATCATATTATTATGCTGAAATGATTTGCTTTGGTCACTGTGATTTCACATGCGATAAATCACAACTTGTTTGATGACCATAAACAAGTTGTGATTTATCGCATGTCAAAGATAAATGGCATCAAAATCGATCAAACTGATCTTTTCTTTTTAGATTTAGACATTTTGCGAGATTGGGCCTAGCGTAATAATAATAATAAGGCACAGTGATGTTGTAGATGAGTCACAGGTGTGGAGATATGATTTTAAAATAAATGCTTTATCAAAGGTGATTGTGATTTTATACCATGCCTAGTGGGACTCTACAACGCTTCACATTGTAGTTAAATTAATAAGAAATGTGGAACAACGCGAAAACTGGATCTATCTAAAACTAACTATCTTTGCAGCGGTTTGCATATCCTGACAAAATTTGCAGTACTTAGAGAGTTTTTGAAGCTTTCACAAACCAAGTTAACATTTAAATAAAATTGCTTTTGTAAGCTCCGCTTGCGTGTGAGTCGGTTATCACTGTAAAAAGTTCTTTATGTCCTTTATCAAGAATCATCATTCATTCATCATCATTCATACCAAATTTCATCTGAATCAGTACAGCGGTTATTGATTCACGATACAAACTTCCACCCCCTTAAAGGATGATTTCTAGGATAAAATTATCCTACATCCTTTCCAGGGTCTCAACCTATCTCTATACCAAATTTTATCAAAATTTTCAATTATTTTTTTTCGCTTCTCCAATTTTTTTACCCCTTCCAAAAAATATGATTTGTCGAGGTACTCAAAATAGGCCTTTGTTTGCGAGATGACTTCATCATTGGAGTCAAATCTTTTTCCACCAAGCCATTTCTTCAGGTTTGGGTACAAGAAGTAGTCACTCGGAGCCAAATCTGGAGCATAGGGCGGATGAGGGAGCAATTCATAGCCCAATTCATGGATTTTTGCCATGGCAACTGCACATGTGTGCACCCTTGCATTGTCTTGGTGGAAAAGAACTTTTTTCTTGGCCAAATGAGGTCGGTTTTTTTTCAAATCGTCATTGAATCGGTCCAAAAAGTTGGCATAATATTCCCCATTGATTGTTCTTCCCTTTTGAAGGTAGTGAATGTGGATTATCCCGCGTGCATCCCAAAAGACAGTCGCCATAACTTTATTGGCTGACAAACCCACCTTGGCCTTCTTTGGCGCCGATTCACCCTTAGAAACCCTGTTGAACTGTTTTGACTGTTGTTTGGTCTCTGGTGTGTTGTGATGGATCCATGTTTCGTCCACGGTTACAAAACGGCGCAAAACTCCTCCATATTGCGATTAAACAACGCCAAACCTTCCTGTGAAGTTGTTACACGATTGCGTTTGTGGTCGACTGTGAGCAATCGCGGCACCCATCTTGCGGAAAGGTTTCTTATGCCCAAGTGATCATTCAAAATTGAAACCACTGAGCCATGCGAGATCCCTACGGCTTCCACAATCTCTTGCACTTTCAATCTTCGGTCGGCCAACACCATATCGTGAATTTTTTCGATTGTTTCGGGTGAAGAGACCTCAATTGGGCGTCCAGGACGTTCGGCATCTTCAGTGCTTGTACGGCCACAACGAAATTCAGTAAACCACTTTTTTACCATTGAAATCGATGGTGCAGAGTCCCCATAGTATTTATCAAACTTAGCCTTAGTCTCGGTAATAGTTTTTTTTCGCAAAAAATAATGCTTAATAAGCACACGAAATTCACTTTTTTCCATTTTTTCCTCAAATTACTGGGTAGTAGTTACAAAGATAGCTGTCAAACACAAATTAACTGACGCAGCAAGTTCAAATTTTGACAGGAGTCAACTGACAGATGCCTGTTGACAGGAGTAGTGTTGCTTTTTCAGTGAAGAGGTCAGAAATTCAAAAAGTCACGAACTTATTGACCCGCCCTTGTATTTCAAATCAAATTAGTACGGTCCAATCATAGCCAACAATAGGACGTCAAAATGCCGCAGTGCGCGTTCAAAAACTGTGTAAATAACCACCGTAACACCAAGGTTTTGAAAGGAATATCTTTTTTTCGGTAAGTTAATATCAATAAGTGTTTTTTCATGATATAATGCATTGAGTTAAAACAACACTAGAGAAGCAAACCTCATTATCACACGTCGAAAAAAGTGTAACCACTTTTGAACTTTGACGACGTAGCTTTGATACCACTAAACATTTGACAGTAAGCATATTTATGTCTCATTTACACGCGAGACAAGAACAATACCATCGCTCGGATTAGACAAAGACAAAGACATAACTTTACGATGGTGGGCCAGTGTTGACTACCGTATGAAATTTTACCCATAACAACCAAGAAACAATTTTTTTTTAAAACAATTAATTTAAATATTTTAAATAATATATTTCGAATTGAATGGAATAGGTATAAATAATAAAATAACTAGAAATATTTGGTTAAAAGGGGTTATATTCAGTGTAAAATCATACTCCGCTATGAAGCATCAGTTTTGTATACAATTGTCTTTTAGACTCTTTTTTATAAGTTTGTGTGAATATTTTACTTTCATGATACAATCTTATTTTTACCTATGTATAAATAATGGCATTTAATAGTAAAAGTGAATGATCAACTTGTACTGATAATAAATAATCCCCAGGGTGTATTGCAAATTCTTTTAATATTTTAAACTACAAATAAAAAAAATAAAATAAAATATATATATAAAAATGGAAATCTATAAGACACACATATTTAAAAAAAGAGTTAAGGCCTTCTTATTGGAAAAATGTTATTATTCTGTAAATGAATTTACTGGCTCATCTTGTAACTGACATTAAAATCCTAGGGACATGTTGGGGATATAATTATTGTGTGATCTCTTGTTTACATTGACATGACAATTCTAACTGGCATTTAGTTTGCATTAAGTACCTGTTTGAAATTTAATTTATTTAGTTTGACATTATTATTTTTGACATCGAGTGATTCATTTTGTTAATATGACTGGTTGGAGTTGTGAATGTTATATGTATATTTGAAATGTTTTTAACTTATTTTAGATGGTTTAATGTGAATTGTTTTTAGAGATTATGTGTTACTTTTCTTTTCTCACTATTATGAAGTATTATATTCAGACACAATTGTAATAAATTGTTAATGAATTAAATGAATTAAATTATATATATATTTTTTTTTGCTTTTTATATTTTTTATTTATATTTATTTACTTTTTTATTTTATTTATATATTTTTTTTGTACAATTGTTATTTATATTTGATAATTAATTAAGAAAAATGAATGAATTAATTAATTAATTCATTCTTTTAATAAAAGTCTCCAGCACTGCGAGCTTGGCAGAAGGTGAACGTTCAACGGGTCCCTAAAAAAAGTGATCGATTCAGCCCTAACAACTACCGTTCTTCCTATATTTTATTATTATTGACAAAATGTTTAAAAACAGTATAAAGCATATTGTTTCATAAATTATAAATTCTCCCACTAATGTGGGAAAACAAAAATGATTTTTTAATGGTAACACTGATTCTAAATTACAATTATTAATGTTTTATTTCAATTATAGCCTTATTTACGATATTATCAATACAAAAACCATAAACTTACACGTGATAAGTAATTCCGCATGATTTATTATGGTTTTGTGACCTTGAATCGCATTCTTTCACTACGCATTTACCCATTTTGGCGATTGTTACTGTCATGTGTCGCTATGTTCAACTCGGTTGACGCCACATTGAACACTGAATTGACGTTTGCTACGCATATGCCTGTGGACAGATGTGCAGTAGCAACGATTTTAGGCGGTAATTACTCATCTATGTAAGTATTATATCAATGATATAATGAGTATAAACAGAATTAAACTGTAAATAAAATTCAATTAGCGAATATTATAATTGGTTGGCCAATGTTTGCTACAACACCAATTATATTATACTGTTGGACAGGGAATGCATGGAGTAGTGTTGTTATTTTGTAATGTTATTTTTGTTTGTAGATTTCCTAGTGACCCATTTCGTTGTGCAGAATGGGTATCTATTGTAGCGAAAGAAAGAGGAGAAGAAATGTACAACCCTTATAAAAATTCGACAATATGTTCGATTCATTTTGACAGATTGGACATAACTGGAAACACGCAAAGGCGTAGATTACTAAACAAAGCAATTCCCAAATTGCAGGTAATTAATTATCATTAAGTATTAAAATACATAGATAACGTTTTGATAAAATAGTAAATTGATTATGACTTTTTTTTAGATTCACGGACCAATAAAAGTGCAAACAGCTAAATCTTCAGAATCGACGAAAGATTTATCAATTCAGGTAAATTTTGTAAAAATCTATGTAAATAAACTTATAACTTCGTAAAAACTATTCCTGTAGGTATTTTTATTAAATAGGTATTTTTAAAATGTTTTCAATAAACTGTGTGTTTCTTTACAGGCCACATCTTCAGCGACTTTAAGTTTTAATGATTCTACGGGAATACGTGACGTGCCTCGGGCTGATGCAATTGGTTTGAAGTCTCCTGATGCATCATTTTCAGAGTTAACATCTGTTTGTGACACTCCAAGAAAAGGGTACTTAAAAAAGAAATTGACGACATGTAGCAGAATTATAGATACTAAATCTAAGAAAATACGTAACTTACAAAAAGTAAATAAGCGACTAACTAAGAAAAATTGTTCTTTAAAAAACATAATTAACTTGCTTCAAAAGAAAAAATCCATTGATGATTCAATATTTTTCGATTTGGCAAAAAAAATTAAAGTTGCAGAATTATTCAATGGAATGTACATTAAAAATAAAAAAATCGTACGAGGCCGTTCACAAAGTATCCTCCAGGTGCGAGAAAATTTGCTTTAACGCTGCATTTTTACTCGCCATCCGCATACAAATATGTACGTAAAATGTTTAATACATGTTTACCCCACCCCCATACATTATATGAATGGTATCGAAGTGTAAATGCGGAACCTGGATTTTGCACGGAAACGTTAAATAGGCTTGAGGAGAAAGTAAAATCTAGTGATAAAACTATTACCTATATATAAGCGAATGATGTGGTAGCCTATTATTATTTTATAGTATTGCCAGTGTTTAAATTAACATGCACGTATTTGTGTAGCGTCTGTTGGCGTTCCAATAAATATTTTATATACTTTGTATAAAGAATACGCCGAAAACACGTTTCTTGATTCACTTTTTTTATTACCTTGTAATAGCGACAATGTTAAATAGTACCTATCTACTACTTTTTTTAATTGGTCGAAATATTTGCCACTATACAAAAAAAAAAATATTATGCAACTCTACGTCTTTCAATACTTACTGTGTTCTCAGCATTGAAATGTAATACCAAGAACTGCGTCTAGTTCCACTATAGAATAAGCACGAAATTTTGCACATTATGTTTTTAACCTTATTGAATGGAGTTTGTTTCTTTTTAGAATAAATATTTTTGTACTGATGACTTTTTATTTTCAAGCGACATTTTAAATTTAATGCTTCTAACCTTTCTCCGATGAAAGGACTTAAATAAATATATTTCCCAATGGTTAATCAACGTTATGTTTAAGCATTAAGGTTTATAATGATCTGAAGTTGTTAATAATATTATACTTTTTTCTAAGAAATGTAGATGTTTACCTGTGTGTAAACGTGGCCACATGAGCGACTTATTTTTAACCGACTTCAAAAAAAGGAGGATGTTCTCAATTCGACTGTATTTTTGTTCCTGATACTGAATCTAGTGCTATTATTGATCGAAGTTATTATATTACTTTTAGACCTGTAAAAGAAGAGACAAGCTGTGGAAGCGTAACCGAAGATCAGCATGAAGATAGCGAGTGAGTGTAATTTCAATATGTAAAAAGTAGTTAGATTAGATAACCAGCATATCTGAGTCCATATCTGCTAATATGCGAATCCGTATCCCCGGATATCCGAATTCATATCCTCGAATATCCGAATCCGTATGCCCGGATATCCGAACTTTGCTGCGAATATCCGAAAGCATAGGCAAAATATCCGAATAGGTTCGGATACGTATTCGGATATTTAATATCTAATATCTGAATCCTTATCCGGCACACCACCGGTGGAGATTCATCACCATCTAGTTGTCGATCATCACCGAAATACACACTTAAGTGAAACACTTTGATCTTTAAAAAATGTTTTAAACCTCACAGAATGGAAGATGATGCTGAAATAGGAACCTTGAAGTTGGAGTTTCACGAAGATGGATATCAAATTGATGCTGTAGGAACAAGAAATATGCTGGAAATTAGTCCTACGTTATGCCAGTAAGTCACTTTTATTTTTAGGTATAGAATATAAGGGGAGGATTAGCAGACGGATCAACTTGATGGTAAGTGACTACCGCTGCCTATGAACACCTGCAACTCTATAGTTATTTATTTGTGGTGTCACTCTTTGACCCCACCTCCTCCAAATAGGGAGGGATCTGAAATGATGATAATGGTGAAAACATCACTGTGACTTATTATTATTATCAAGCTAGCGCCAGACTCGCGAAATGTCTAAATCTAAATTGCTATTTATCTTTGACTATGACCAAATCTAAGTTGCGATTTGTCTCAGGTGAAATTACAGTAACCAAAACAAATTATTTCATCAAATTAATATGATTTAAAAGTAGCAATAATTTCCATGTCTAGTACCGACATCAAGTTAAAAATTAAATCTTTACACCTTTTACCACAATTTTTTCTAACACAATTTGAAATAGTATCAATAAAATAAGGTAAGGATGTTGTAATATCTGTAATATCTTGATGAAAATCAATATACTGTAATAACCGAGTGAACTTGAGCAATTCAATTTTCTTCAAGAAATTTTTATTATTTTAAAACATCAGTTTGTGGTCCAGAATCCACATTATTCTCTAAAGAAAATATATTTAATAATAATAATAACTTCACACACAGCTGATTCCAAACTAGACAGAGCCTGTACTATGGTAACCAGACTGCTGATAAACATACTTATATATTTCTAAATACATACACATTAGAGATAAATTAGACACAGACACAGGAAATATGATCATGTTGATAATACAATTGACTGTACGGATGGCGTAGTGGTTTAAGCGGTCACTGCGCTGAGTTTTGTTGGTCCCCACATGGGACAACACTTTGTATGATTCCCAAGTTGTTGTTCTGAGTCTGGGTGTTCTTTGTGTCCGTTTCAGGTATGTTTGTTAAGTCCCTCGCGACACTGGATATATTCCTAGTGCGGAGCTTGTTTTTTAAGAAATTAAATAGAAAGTATAAAAGTTAGTAAAAATTACCTTACCAACGGAATAGTCTAGAGTAAAATTACCTTTACTTTTGTTCTACCAGCTTACCTATCCTGTGAGTCAGGCAAAGTCAGTGGGTACTTTTAAAGAACTCGTTAAGGATCACTATTTGTCTCTGTAATAGCTATATAGTAATAGCCATCTGTAATAGCCATAAAGGTATGTGTATGTATGTTGATGTATGTATTCATATTTATATATGTAAATAAGTGTATAGATAGTTCAACTCAGTTGTGCGCGCGGCCCTATGTGTGCGTGGGCTTGCAAATATACAAGCCCACGCACACATAGGGCATGACGCGGCAGTCGTCGTCCGACTGCCGCGTCACTGCCACACGAATGAAAGTTGTAAATTTACAAGCCCACGCACACATAGGGCCGCGCGCACAACTGAGTTGAACTATCTATATTAATGTGTATTCGTATATATATATATGTGTGTATTTATGTATGTAAATATTAGATAATATACGGATATTGTAAATGCACACCACACGCTACATATTACTGTAAAGTAGTATAGTCCATCTATCATAGTATAGTACAACCCGTGGGTGTCGTAAGAGCCGACTGAGGAAGCAAAGACAACAGCACTGCAAAGGGCAAAAACTTGACAAAAACCCTGTATATCAACCTGTCTGGCCAGCGTGGTATAGTAGCCCAAAACCTCCTTTCTAAGGAGAGGCGTATGTAAAGCAATGGACTTGTATATTTTATTATTCTCTATCATTCAAAACTGTTCTATCAAGAAAATAAAAGAGAATGAGAAAAGAAGAATCAAAAGGAAATTATGTCCAATTAAAATCAATATCAAAATATTTAATGATTTATTTATTAACAGTTTAATTAGTTTTTAAATTAAAGATTCACGGACTAAAGCTCTCAATTAACTTAATTAATCCTCAGGGAGTCTTCTGGTCACCTGATACTGCCTGGTACTCATGATGAAGTAAAGTTGGAACCAGACATCGTTAACTACCAAGGGTCAGTATATTATAATAAAAATTATAACTTGGCATATGTTTTACCCATACACAGTAGTCTGATCCCAAATTAGTAATAAAGCAAAGTAAATAGGCAAAGCAGTGAACCGTTGTAACTAGACTACTGATTAACCTAATTACCGTTGGCTGTGCATGAACCCTTTATTTAAGAACATGAACATAAATAATATAATATTTCACACAACTTTACACACAGCTGATTCCAAACTAGGCAGAGCCTGTACTATGGTAACCAGACTGCTGATAAACATACTTATATATTTCTAAATACATACATATTATAGATAAAGTACACCCAGGCACAGAACAAATGACCATGCTCATCACACAATTATTTGTCTTGGGTGGGAATCGAACCCACGACCTCTGACGTAGCAGTCAGGGTAACTAGACCAACAGGCAAGTCAAAAATAGAATGTTACAGGATCCCGTCCCCTATTCAGTTGAGACTGCATGGGGTGATGAAAACGGAATATAAGACTGAACCCGCTGATGATGAATGCCCGCCGACGCTAGGACACCATACACTTGAGACAGAGTAAGTGTATATAAAATAATAATATTTTGACACATCTAACATACGGATGTATGATCTGAAACTAGGCAGAGCCTGTACTATGGCAACCACACTATTGGTAAACATACTTTGACTTTTAAATAAATATTTGTTGTGGGTGGGAATCGAATTCACGATCTTTGGCTTGGCAATCAGGGTTACTAACCACTAGACCAACAGGCTAGTCGAATGAATGTTTCTATCGCGCGAGCGCGTTTGTGTGCGCCTGCGCATGTACGTGCGAGTGTGTGTATCTCGTGGTCTAATGTTAATATACTTAGAACTTTCTGATGCAGGTCTAGCCTCGCTGTTCTCATCAAACCAGAGCCATTACTATACCCTGTAAAGACTGAACCCTGGACCGAAGATCAAAAGTGAGTATCTCTTATAAATGTAATGTAATTTGTATTTTAAATATAACCGCCGATATACTTCGGCTATATAGCTCTGCCGCCTCCAAATCCCAAGGGGGGAGTTCCGGCCAACGCGCACGCCACCTCCGTCGAAACGGTGCGGTAACAGCGTATGGCTCTAACCGCCAATACCCTCTGAAGCCGCCAAAGGCTCTCCCTATTCTGGACGGTCAGAGCCGCTGTCCACACCGGTGCACCGTACAGAGCCATGGACCATACAACCCCCGTGTACAGCCGTCTCGTCGCGACGCTGGGTCCACCCAGATTGGGCAAAAGTCAAGGGCAGACGCAGCACCGACCAGCTTTGGAGCAACCTGTCGGAAGTGCTCGTCGAAGAGCCGCCTCCCGTCGAGAATTAGACCCAGACACTTCATCTGGGCCTGAACCAGTACGAGGACCGAGTTGACAACGATTGAAGCGCCTTGAGGTGGACCACGACGGGGCCCATGAAATAAAAGGCCTGTGTTATGGCAAGTAGACTAGGGTAGAGCTCGGCAGTGACCGCCGCCAGTTAATATCTCTGCTTAAAGCGAGACTTCTGACGGCTGTCCCGTCGCCCCTCTCGTAGCCGTTATGCCACACTCCCCGTACCAGGGAACACATTGGCTGTGCCAGTAACATAATGTGCCAATAACACATGTGCCTTCTGCGTACAACTGTTATAAATATAATAAAACACAACTGTAATAAAAGTATATTTAAGATCGAATGCTTTTTTGAATAATTGTAAACAATTTAATTCAAAACAGCATTTAATCTTCAAATTTACTTTCAAAACATAAACACGCAACGGCTCTATGGACGCACGTATATATATATAGATATAGTTATATCGCGCTCTCTTACGTATTCAAACGTTAAAAATTTATTTACAAATCATTATTTTAGCGCTATTCAAATGGAAGTCGTTGCAGATGTTTATCAGCAACAGCAACAGATGCAACAAGAGACGCAACAAAATATACAATCAACACAAACACGACCATATTCAAATGCTGAACGCCAAAGAAGATACAGAGAAAAGAGAAAAGCTGATAAAATGAATGCATGTACTACATTCAGTCAATCTAGCGACGTTCAGCCACAGCAAGAACAACCACAACATGAGGTTCAAAATAATAAACGTCAACCACAATCTAGTGCTGAACGCCAAAGGAAATATAGAAAATTATTACGTGAACAACAACCACATAGATCTAGTATCCAGCAACTGCAAAAGTAATAATTTTATATTACACGTAATTAAATGCATGTTTTTATTATAAATATATCTTTTGTGATTTATGTTACAATTTTAGTGTCGACCCAGCTGAACATGCACGAAAACGACATTTGAACAAACAACGACAAAGCAGGTTTAGAGCGAGGCAAAGATTTCAATCGCCTGGTACATCTTCGCATCAAACACAGGCAGAAAGGTTTATTTTGTAATTAAAATAATAATATAAACAATAATAATGTACGTGAAATAACAATATTTTTTTAGTGAAATTTTGCAACTGAATAATCTCTTAAAGAATTTAATCTAAAATTTACACAGAATGCATTTGGTCTTTCTTGTAACGTTTGCGACCGTTTTGTGGTTTAAAAACGTTTCTCTAGTTAAACAATTTCAATATTAAATAGTTCAACTTAGATTAGATCATTTCTTTCCGGCGTTCCATTTTTTGTTTTATATGCTTACAGTGTGGAACGGATTCCAGTAGAACGCCGCTGGACTCACTATCTTGATGCAAGTCGTCTCATGAAAACGTCGGCATACACAGAATTTATTAAAAATACGTAACAGAGTTGTGTGTTTTTCTTTTCCCTTTATATAATTTTAACTTAACTTTATAAATATATATATACATAGGTCGAACGCGCTATACTCAACAACTGCAGGTTCGAATTGAACATTTATCGAGGAAGCCTCTACGCTATATAACACAGCGCTACGGCTAATAAGAGCACCAATAAATGTTGCACAACGCGGAAAATATATTCCTTTTAAGAGACGGTCAACTAGTATTTTAACTCAATTTTGCCGTGCTGCCCCTTGAATTCCCCTCCAGAATTAGGGGGTTTATATGCTTACAGTAGTAGTAGTTTAGGTTAGTTCTGGTAAGTCTCGCGTGTACTGTTACTAAGCAGGTGACACTACGGGCTCTAAATATGTATACATATAACAATTATTTAATATAGCAACAGCAGATTCTGTGTGGTAATGGATTAAAAATACGGAATGTCACTACCGCTGTTCATCCCGTGACCCGTAAGTGCCGACTAAGGAAGAATATTACGCAGGACAACAGCTCTGCAAAGAGAAGGAAAATTTGAAATAAACCCTATACCAACCCGTTTGGCCAGCGTAGTATGGTAGGCCAAAGCCTCCTTTGTAAGGAGATACGTATATCTAGCAGTGGACTATTAAAGGCTGTTGATGATGATATTAAACGCAACATTAAGTGTTCGAACCTAGTAATTATATAAAAGATCTGGTTTTGCTTATAATCATTTAGGCCAACCAACAGTGGGTACCTACACTACGAGTATTACAATGTAATTACAAACTTACTGATCTTAGGACTAAGTGCCTCAATAAAAGAAGGTCAATTCTCGTTCGTTCAGTTATTACGACAGTTGCTCCTCTGGTAGGACAGCATGCAAATAAACTAAGTAGGTACTAAATAGGGAATAAGGCCTCTGACGTTACAAAGTAATTATCCCGATAACACATTCCGCGAGTTCCTGGTGTGTCGGATACTAAGCAAATAGTAATACATCGTGATGAGCTCATCATTTACTACATTCAGCAAAATCAAATATGGCCTCAATAAAAGAGTCAACATTTCGAAATTGTGCACTCAATTCTGTTAGTATTACTCACTTCGAAGGGCGGATGAAAAATATGCCGAATTGTTCATTTAAAAATTTGAATATGGATCGGATATCTTACTTTCTGTAAATAAGGCTGTATAAAATTTTATTTGTAAGTAAACAATGTTTGATGTGTATTTGATTAAAGGACAATGGCAGGTCCCCATACATAATTTTATTTGAACTGAAATGTTAGCGTTTAAATATCAAAAAATCCTTAACACTTGAGAACTTATTCTTGACCATTCTCATATCAAAATTACTTGCGAAAGAAGTCTAGGAAAAAAGATATTGGATTTTGAATGTTTCGAGGTTAAGTACTAACATATTGTTAATGTTTTGTTTGAAACTAGATGGCGTTGTGTGTCAGATAGCCGAAAATATTATTTTCATTATTATTACAGTATATGAAATAAAAAAAATAAAAGCATAACATCTATTCGAGTTTAACACTAAATTAAACAAAAATAAAATAACAAACGTGGTGAGTCCGGAACTTGACAGGATCTAAACCACAGATTAAGAGATATGTACTAAACGACGTATCGACATTTTGAAAATATCGATGTATGTCTATTTATGTGCCGTTATCAATGACAATGTATTTTTCTCATCACACTGTGTAGTGGAAAATAACGTAACTATATTCTATTTCTTTAGTGTGTTTAAAATCGTTTAAAGAGAGTCAAAAATATTTTAAATCATTTCTAATTATGTTGATTCAGTCACTCTACCGTACGAGTGAAGACGTGGGCAGAAGCAAATTCATAATCATAATAGTGAACCTTCGGTAAATATTTCAGCCAAAGCTATAAGAATCGATTATCGATAAATTGTTCCATAATATAATATTGCCACCACGCATCCCTAGTCAGTTATACGTGATGGCGAATCTGACATTACGTACTTAGGTCAAATAAAATCTTCAAAAATATCTTATCTCTTATAAGACTTATACAACACATGGTGGTGTAATGATAAATCATAGAAAAATTTTTGATTAAGTTTACTGTGACTCGATTTTTTAAACGCTTAAGTTTTAGGTAAATATGTTTCTGCCATTGTTCTTTACACGAAAAACAGTAATTGAATGACGTATAACTCGGCATATTTGGATAGTCATTTATTTGATAAAATGTGGTTACGTTACGCTCCTATAATATTTGGTCCTCTTATACGAGTGACTCTGTTCTCGTTTTAATGGAATAGTCTTTAATTTGTTGTTTTATTATTTATATTAATTTATCGATACTCTGTTATTGATTCCCTCGTAAACCGATACGCTGTAAGCAATGAGCAATAACAGTGGGCCGCCAGGGATGTGATGAAATTTGAATTTCAAACCCAAAGATTCTATTGTTGTTTGTTCGGAACAGAAAAGGCATGAAACGTGTTAATAGTTTTTTGTTTCAAGGTGCTTTCTGCTTTTCCACATGAAATAAGTAAATGACTAATAAAACAATTATTAAGGAAATGTACTGATATAGAGGCACAAACTTGATAATACTTACGTTTTCCACTTTGCCTTTACTGCCAGTAGCGCTCTTAGCCATTGTAAGCCCCTGAGCGGGTAGATCATTGCCCAGGCCTAGGGTAGGTGGATCATTGCCGGGCGGGTAGTTCATTGCGAGGCCTTTGTCTTTGTGAAATTAGTTTTAATGATGAGACTTGAAACAAAAAACGCAGTGCAACACATACGGCTGCTCGAAAATAAAAGTATAATCAGACGAGAGTTGTCACGACACCCTGTCAATATGACAGGCGAAATGAAACACGGGGAATTCCCGAAAATAAATCTTTAACAAAATGATAACTACCACTTAAGAGAGGATGAATAGCGTGACATGAGTTTCATAATGCGTGTCTTATCGTCCGAAATTCAAATAAACATATTTTTCAACTTGGGATGCGCAAGTGCTCGAGGCCTCGTGCGGTTGCCCTGTTTGCTAATCATAATGATTAGCGAGCAGGTTACAGGGTGTTTGTGTACACAGACGTATTCGCTTTGTTGAAATAATACGCCATTAAGGTGTTTTATGTATAATGAACATAGTTCATAATGGCACGTTCAATATTGGCATGGGTGCGCGGTGGCGGCGGCGGGATTCGGCACTAATTACACACTGCATAGCCCATCACGTGAGATCAAACGCCTGACTGATGTTATTAACACTAGACTAAGAACATTGTTACTAACAAACTGAATGGATCGAAACTAATTAGTTTTAGGTGCATAATACGTTTTTACTAAAAAGTAGGTACATTTGATCATGTTCGCCGCTGAGTTCAGTGAGTTTAAAAAAAAATCTCGCTGCATTACACTTGTCGTTAAAATTTAAGATAATAAGCAAACAGTACTGTGGCTGAAATACTGAATATAAATATTTATAATTTTGCAAATCATCTAAAAAGGCACTAAATTATGTGGTTATATTTTTTTTGAAAAAACGCCCCAATTTATTTATACGCTTACAAGTTTAGTAAAGATGTCGAAATTAGGTATTGGCTAAGTTAAGGGGACAAAGCAAGACACAATTATATAAAGGACAAACTTAACAAATATACTGACAATTCGACTCTATGTAGCCTTTATTCGACTTAGTTCCATGGTTGTATGATAGTGACGGATTACTCAAATCTAAAACGTAACTTCTGACGCATTCATTTTATTCAGAAACAGCTTTATCTCAATTTAGATAAAGTTCAAATTTATTGTAACCAAATTACCGTTTGTCGTCTTTGACTCTTATTCTTTGTTATTGTTGAAGCAGCCATCTTTTGTTGTGTGGGCCTAAGCAACTGTGCACTGTGATTCTAACTAGGTCCTGGCGTCATCACAGTGGGCGTGGTTTATAGTTAGTAAACCATCAGCGTTCGTCCTGTGTACTTGTGTCGAAAATCACAATTTGTTTTTTTTCGTATTATTAAGAAGAAAAGGATGAAGTGTTGTATTATATCGTGTAAAAACTACTCGGATAGACGTTCTGATGCTATGATTGGCATCACATTTCATTTGTAAGTAATTTTATACTTCACTTTTAAAATAGTTCTAGAAAAATCTTTTAATGTTTATTGGATATAATTAAATCTATTCTTCACTAGATGGCATAATTTAGTGTTATGGGAACTGTAAACAAACAAAGGTACGAAGAGCTCAGTATTAGAAAGATAATCATACGAGGATACAGAAATTTGTTCTGAAAATATTATTTTTAATTATTTACTATCAATTTGTGAAAAACTGCCATCTATGGTGAACTAGGAGAACAACAAGACAATCCAATTATTCTATCTAGGTTGTGCGAAGACAAATTTATCTCGAATTGATATTACTTTAAATATTAAAATGAAGGCAATTATACTTTGGCGGCTTTTTACGAAATGTTTAAATTATATTTAAGTGACATTCTAATTGCAAAAAATGTTTTTGACAAGACTAAATAATTTAAAAAATTAAAAACCTAACTGCAAAAAGACAATTTAAAAGTAATGATCTAATTAAAATATTGTCATGATATACCATTTTAAAATCCTCATGATGAGCACTTTAATTTGATACCCATTTTGCAGTACCCAAAAAAAATATATATTTGTTTATATTTTCGTTAAGTTGAATTTATATTGTATAATTTTGTGTAGGTATGAAAATGTGAGTATAGTGTAGGCTTATAAAGTTAGTTCAAATTTAGTAACTTTCTGGTGGTTTTGGTTTAAACGACCTACTCAAATGTCCTGCTGGCGGTAGTGTCGCGCTTCGGATCGGCTGGACCCGTATGAAGTCTGAATAGACAGGCCGAATCAAAACTAGGGTCCTTTCTTCAAAAGGCGTACCCAGACACTACATTGTACTCTCACAGTTTTCTATAACTTTATTTACGAAGTAAAAAAGACCCCTCTGTGGTTAGTTTCGGGGTTTCTTCCCAGAAT